AAAAAAAAAAAAAAAAACGTTATAAAGCTGAGATTTCTTAATCATTGAATTTTTCAGAACTTAGCTGTCTTAGTTGTATTATTAGTAAATTATTCGTATACTTACAATGGGTTCTGATGAGACGTTCATACTCAATATGACACATATATGTACTAAAATCCTTGTTTGAGTGAAGAAGTCACCGAAGCTGTGAAAAACATGATTAACATGCCAAGGTAAAGTATTTCATTGTCAGAAAAAAAAAATTTAATCAAATATAATCAAACAAGCCAATGGAAAAAGTAGTAAGAGTTAGTGTAAGGATGAATTACTTACTAGATGTAGTGGCTTCAGTTCTGATGACACAGTAGGCTTATTACTACAGCCAACGATGACATGCAAAAGGAGCAAGATATTACATCAACCATGATGCTTTATACACCAGACTCTCTTGAGAAGTGAAATAGAATAAGGAGTCAAGACTTTCAGACAAAGAAAATGCACAAAAACCAATAAATTACATGACCCTTACCGTTACAAAGTGTAGCCTTGCAACCTTGATGTGTGATCAGATGATGGCCTACGATAAATGAAACAAATTACACAAAAAAATTTCACTTGTTTGATGTTATATATCAGCTTTACACTCACTGCGTGTCAAGATTCCATGACGAGACTTGAGTAAAAACCTCATTAGGATGCCTTTAAATACTCTATTGTTCCAAAGATGTTTAAACAAAACTCTGCAGGAATGTTTTGATCAAGACTGTGCTGGCATAGTTCATGGCTAGTTCCATTATATCAACTGTACACGAGCTAAAACACTTGTAAAGGCACACGCTTGTCAATTAAACATTGCAAATATATGCTTCTTGACACTAAATTTCACTTTTACACTTGATTGTGGAAGTATATACTGTAGCACGAAGCAGAAGCAGACCCGTACGAATACATTTGTTTTGATTCGAGGTTGGGTTAGGTAAGGTTCGAAGTGGTCCGCGGGGTGTATCGGTTTTTTTATGATTGCACGCCAAAAAACGATTGTGCGTAAAAAAGACCATCGGGTGCTGATTGCGCGTAAAAAAATCTATCAATTTAAGTGTATGTGGTCAGGAAAAAATCATCATTTGACGTTGTTTGACGCGTGTTTCTAATACAACGGCACCCGAACTGTTTTTTATCCATTATTTTAACAATTTCGTTTGCGCGTTGACCATTCGGGGCTAATTTTGTTGATTTTTTTTACGCGCAATCGATTTGTCAAAACGTTAGTACATTTTTTAATCATGGGGTGCCAGGTTCACAATGCTGTGTTGTGTTGTGATTTGTGATCCCTAAGAGATATAATAGATTTGTTCGATTAAGAAGTTCAGAGCGCTCGGAGCGCTCGAAGTGCTCTGAACATGCGTTCTTGCTCCGAGCACTCCGAGCGCTCCAACTGCTCCACACGTGCTATGATCAGGCAACCCAACGGAGCCGTAAGAAAGCCAGCTATGAATTATATTAACCTCTTATCTGTAGATAATTTACTTACACTAGATGACAAGTACATCGGACGCTAATACGGATTGTTTGGGTTACCTGGACCAAGAGCACGTGTGGAGCAGTAAGAGCGTTCGGAGCAAGAAAGCGCGTTCAGGCAGAGATAAAGATAAGTAGAGAGATTGCCAGTGCCAGCAATGGGTTAGGTGGATTCAATATCAAAACTTTCTCCCTAGATCGTATATATGGGGAGAATCACTTCAACTGTCCCAGCGCCGCGGTGGACGGCCCGCGCGGGCGTCAAACACGACGTTTTCAACTCGTCGTTTCGGTGTCAAAACTTTGATAAAAAAATTATCTAAAAACATATTCTTACGTATTTTTTCCTCAGCTTTCCAGTGGTGGCATCAGTTTTTCGAAAATTTGCTCCCATAACCTCGAAAAACGCACTTGTTTGAAAAATACGTTTTATCTCCATGATCTTCCACTTTTGGAATTTTTTTGATAGTCTAGATCGAAAGATGAGACATTTTTACGTAGATATCGACAATAAAAAAAGAGGGGTTTTTCGTTTTTATAACGTATTTAAACGACGAACGAGACGATGCGAGCCGCGGCGGCCGGGCCACGCGCGGCAGCAGCGCGTCCGCCGTGTGTCGTCTGCTACGGTGAGTCTGTTTGGCTATATAATA